AACAATATGTCGGATGTCGGATGAACGGTTTAAATCGGAGGGAGAGAGAGACTCACGGCTTTTTCGTTTCGCGGTTGCCGTTCGACTGGGAGATGGTGTTTTAAATCCAAGTCTTGTAGCCCATTCGCTGAGCACGGTGGTGATCGTTGATGTTGTTGTGTCCGGTGCTTCATCTCTGTTTGATATCGCCTGATGTTGTTCTTCTCCACCCACACTGGAACTCGGTGATGGCCGTTTGTTTGAAATCGAATCGAAATCGGCGCTAAGATCTAGTAACGGTATATTTCCTCTTGTCGGTTCTAATACTGAAGCACCGGAGAGAAGTGCCGGCGTATCCGGCCGACGTTGCTGTCGTTGCGTCATGTTATTCTTGTTCTTGTTCAGTACTTCCCAGCAATAATGTTGGTGACGGCTGGATCAGAATATGAATTTACAAATTGTTTTTCGTACCAAACAAAAACTTTTTTTATTTTATTATAAAATTACAAGTAAAGATTGGAGACAGAAAATGATGATCATAAAATTCACACGTATAAATGCATTTCGAATATCTTCTTCAGTGTACGTATGTGAAAGAATATGAAAAAAACATGCAGGTTATATAGGCAGAAAGGACATGTTAACAATAAAAGTAAAATAAAAATAATCGATGAAAATACATGTTAGAAATAACCAATGAAGACTGTTTGGACAGGAGCGGATGAGAACAGAAAAAATTTATTTATTTTTTTATTTTTTGGAGTGGAACGGATGATAACAGAAAACGGATGTGTATGGTAAAATGTCTGACGATGTCGTTAGACTACATGATGAATCATCAAGAAGCCACTATAATAATAGTCTCAGGCGGTGACAACTGCAATAAGAGATTTGTCCTAATTCTTGGACAACCCAGAAATGTGGTTTTTTCGTCTTCTGAAGCAGATCTGATGGCGCTTCGAAAAGCTTTTTAGGGTTTTTTCACTTGAGAGAGCTCAAAAATATCAAAAAAAATTTTTGGGTAAAAATCATCGAAAAAAGTCTTTTTGGTATTTTTGATTTCGCGTGAAAACGAAACATACTGGAAGTATAAGGGTAGAGGCAAAAATGGAGCACTTTTTTAGGCGAATCTTTTACTGCATTAAAAATTTTTTCTAAAAATTTTTTTGAAAAGATTTTTTGACGGATTCGTGTGCGTTGTGAAAGGGTGCTAGTGAGGTTGTCAGTATAGTGGTTCAGGTCACTCTAGTACCTTCTCAAGTCGTATAAATGCATCAGCACGGGTATTTAACCAGTTTTGGGGTAAAAATCATCGAAAAAAGACGTTTTTGGTTTCGCGTGAAAACGAAACATATTGGGCGCATGAGGGTAGAGGCGAAAACGGAGCATTTTTTGCGGTGAACTTTTTGCTGGATTAAAAACTTTTTTGAAGAAAACTAAAACGATTAATGGATTGGAGTTTCTGAGCTATTATTTAAAGAAAAATCAATAAAAATACTTTATGGTAGTTTCGCGCGTAAAAAGTGGGCATTTGACATCCGATGATGCGTGGTGAATGTGAAGGTTGGTGACAGTGAGTGGTGGTGGCGATAGTGAGTGATGATGGTGGTAGTGAGTGGTGGTGGCAGTGAGTGGTGGTGGCAGTGAGGGGTGGTGGTAGTGAGGGGTGGTGGTAGTGAGTGGTGGTGGCAGTGAGTAGGGAGAGAGACAATATGCAGCGTTTTCGTTGGGAGTTTTTTTACTCTAACTGGTTGCATGACTTATCTGCGGTTGAAGGATATGCTTGGGTGGTTTCTTTCTTACAAAAGTTGTGGCAA